AACCAGAGGAAGAATTTCTGTTCAGTTTTATTAATAGGTCAAAAGCCAGGGGAGGAAAAAAAAAAACCACACCGTGCGCTAAAAAGCAGCATATGTTCCAGTCTTTATAAATAGAAATAATACTTCCATCCTAATTACGATCATGACCAAACCAAATGCCACTTGCATGAGTTAGATTAATATGGGAAACATGAACATTAAAGTATTAAGGCTGCAAATGTTCGCTGAAGATTACTCAGTTAAATGTTCATTTAATTGGACGGGATCCGTTTGAACTCAGAAAGTTGATGTTTTACTTAGCAAGCCCGTGTTATTTTGGGTCATGTAGCAACTGACATATCGTTATAAGATGAGAGATCTTTCTGTAGTTATCCCCAGCTTCTTGGCCATGGATGACAGGTAATCCTCGATATACGACCATTCATTGAACAACGGTCCAAAATTACAGTGGCCTCAGAAAAGGTACTTTGCAGAATGTCACTCTTCCTTCCCAAGGTCACGTGATCGCAATTAGGTTGTTGGGCAATCCACTTTCATTTAGGACCAGCAAACACATAGTCATATAATTGCAATTTGTGACATTTTTGACTGGTTTCTGGCATTTCCCCCCCGTCAATTTCAGTATTTGTTTGCTGGGTTTCTAGAAAACCCACCCATTCAGGGAAGTGGATTCATAGAATAAAATAGAATAGGATGGGAATTGGGAATAGAGTAGAGTAGTGTCTACTATTGACCTCACCCCTTTCCTAAGAGGTCTGTAGGGGCGTGCATAAGCGCACCAACATGCCTACCATCGCTGTGCTATTGTTTCTTTTTAATTTTCTTATATGTATCCATTTCATGTATTCATAACTATGTTTATACTTATACCTGTTATCTTATAATCACTTGACAAAATAAATGTAAATAATAAATAAAAGAGTAGAGTAGTGTAGAGTAGAGTAGAGTAGAGTAGAGTAGAGTAGAGTAGAGTAGAATAGAATAGAATAGAATAGAATAGAATAGAATAGAATAGAATAGAATAGAACAGGAATTAGAATTAGAATTAGAATTAGAATTAGAATTCTTTTATTGGCCAAGTGTGATTGGACACACAAGGAATTTATCTTGGTGCAGATGCTCTCTTGGTGCGGATGTATAAAAGATACATTCGTCAAGAATCATCAGGTGCAACACTTAATGATAGTCATAGGGTATAATAAGCAATCAAATCATACTAGGAAACAGTCAATATAAATCGTAAGGATACAAGCGACAAGGTTACCGTCATGCAGTCACAAGTGGGAGGAGATGGGTGATAAGGAGTGATGAGAAGATTAATAGGAATAGAATAGGATAGGAATAGAATAAGAATAGAATAGAATAGAATAGAATAGAATAGAATAGAGTAGAGTAGAGTAGAGTAGAGTAGAGTAGAGTAGAGTAGAATAGAATAGAATAGAATAGAATAGAATAGAATAGAATAGAATAGAATAGAATAGAATAGAATAACAGAATTAGAAGGAACCTTGGAGGTCTTCTAGTCCAACCCCCTGCTTAGGCAGGAAACCCACTTCAGACAAATGGTCATTCAATCTTTTCTTAAAAACTTCCAGTGTGTGAGCATTTACAACTTCTGGAGGCAAGTTGTTCCACTGGTTAATTGTTCTCCCTGTCAGGAAATTTCTCCTTAGTTTTAAGTTGCTTCTCTCCTTGATTAGTTTCCACCTATTGCTTCTTGTCCTGCCCTCAGGTGCTTTGGAGAATAGCTTGACTCCTTCTCCCCTTTGTGTCAGCCCCTGAAATATTGGGAAACTGCTATCATGTCAACCCTAGTCCTTGTTTTCATCAAACTAGATATGATCAATATAATATTGCTTCACTTCCGTCTGCTTTCTTTTAGCAGTTTGCTTAACAACCAACATAAACATGGTTGGATAGTCAGATTCTGTTCATGTGGTGCTCAACTTATGGCCAGAAGACTTTTCACAAAAATTCCGGTCACAACCATGGTCCTATGTCAAGAACTACCTGCAGTAGCATTGACCTAAGCATTTCATTAAAAACTCTTTATTATTTTTATGAGCATTTTTCATGAGGTAATTTGACTAAGCATCTATCTTGGTTACCGTAGTTTCGATTCTGATTTATTTGGTTCAACGATTGTCATTGTTTGTCTTCCTGATGTAATGACAGCTGGGGTTGTTGTTGTTTTTTGCGGTGCTTACGTTGATGTATTTCTTTTATTAAATTTAAAGGCTCACATTTTAAAAAGTTAAGGCTTGATAAAAGCTGATCTACAGCAAGCGGTAGAACGGAGACGCATTGCAAATACAGTTAGATAAATAATTTATCAATCGGTCACACTCTGACAATCTTAAGCAAAGAGTTTATGAGGTTCTGATGTTTGGTTTTGCAATTTTCCCCTGGTCCTTTTTAGAGTAGAGCTTTAAAAGTTTCTTTCTTCATGCATGACCCTCTTGCTGAGCTTAGACGGCGTTTCTAGGCCCAGGCTTATAAACATTTTAAGCGCTGTAATCCAAAATTGCTATTCCTGGCCCAAAAACCTTTTAACTCTGATTTTTTTAAAGTGTAAAATCAATGTTTCGCAAACTTGGCAACTTTAATATGTATGGACTGCATTCTGGGCATTGAAGTCCACACACGTTAAAATTGCCAGATTTGAGAAACACTGCTCTAAATGTTAATGTCTATTTTCTCTGTTTCTAAATTAAATATATTTTCATGCTTAGTACAGGCAGTCCTGGACTTAAAATCATTTGTTTAGTGACCGGTCAAAGATGTTCAGAGTATTGCAGCTTAAATTCAGCGCCAGAAAAAAATAAACATCTCCAGTTACAGAAGGTCACTTAATGCTTTGTTCAGAGTATTGCAGCATAACTTCAGTGCCAGAAAATGTAAGCACACATGGCTGAGGCTTCATTTAACTTCTTTATAAACATATAGAGTAAATTTTACAATACCAGTTGTAGATTTCTCCAACATGGGGCAAACTCAAACAGAAGTAGACATGTTTCAGGTTCAGAGCAGAACAGCAACTCAGGAGCTCAGAAACAGACATCAGTTTCACTTTAGTGCAGCAGGCAAGCAAGATACACAGCAGAGGAGAGAAGCAGTTTCATTTTCAATAGACAGACTCAGAGCTTCACGTAGCTTCAGAGCAGCAGAGCTTAATATAGAGCCACGCCTAGGCTACTTCTAGTTTCAGTTTCCAAACAGTTCTCATTGGCTGACTTAGTTGCTATTCCTGTTCATTGGCTGACCTTGTTACCATGCTCTATTCCAGTTCATGAATATACTCTGACAAAAGATACGACAGAAAATGGCGACTTATGACTGTTTTTTCACACTTACAACCCGTTGCAGCATCCCCATGGTCACGTGATCAAAATTCAGAGGCCTGGCAACTGGCATGTACTTATGACGGTTGCAGTGTCCCGGGAGTCACGTGAGCCCCTTTTGCGACCTTCTGACAAGCAAAGTCAGGGAAACCAGATTCACTTAACAACCATGTTACCAACTTAAATGCAGTGATTTCACTTAACGTGGCAGGATAGGTCGTAAAATGGGGCAAAAAAATCAACTACTGAATCACTTAGGAACAGAAATGTTGGGCTCAATTGTGGTTGTAAATTGAGGACTACCTGTAATTTAGATATCCCCCTCCCCGAGACTTAGGGCTAATATTTTGACTTAGCATTTTATGTTCTCACTGTAGTTTGTTTTAATTGTTTTATACTTTCACTGTGTTGGACTGTTCTACACTGTTCATTTTTAGTACTGATGCTTCTATAACAATCTGCATTGATTTTATCCTATTGTTGTTTTAGTTTGTGTGTATGCTGGTCTTCGACTGCAGGAATAAACAATTGATTTGATTTAACGATCTAAATCAGGATTCCTCCTGTCCATCAGATGGATTTATGGCGCCGTTTTTCATGGGTGCTTGATAATGCAGAGAAAGGAGCTTGAGGCTCACAATTTGTAGCTTTTGGGTTGGCCACTTTCTCTGCATTCAGATGGTCGCTGGTTCTATTGCATGTACAGAGTTCTTGGGCATATCAGGGAGGATATCTGTATTCTTTTGGAAACCATGGAGAGCTTCTGTCAGTTTGTTTATTTCTTTGTATCCCACCTTTATTGTTTTCACAAACAATTCAAGATGGCGAACATATTTCAGTGCACCTTCCTGCTCCTATTTTCCCCAAAGCCACTCAGCTTGTTTTTCATGCCTAAGGCAGGACTAGAACTCTCTGTCTCCTGGTGATGGGCCCAAAGTCACCCAGTCAGCTTTCGTGCCTAAGGCAGGAGTAGAACTCACAGTCTCCTGCTGACTGGCCCAAAGTCACTCAGCCACATATCATGCCTAAGGTGGGACTAGAACTCACAGTCACCTGCTGATTGGCCCAAAGTCACTCAGCCAGATTTTGTGCCTAAGGTGGAACTAGAATTCACAGTCACCTGCTGATTGGCCCAAAGTCACTCAGCCTGATTTTGTGCCTAAGGCGGGACTAGAACTCACCATCTCCTGCTGATTGGCCCAAAAGTCACCCAGTCAGCTTTCATGCCTAAGGTGGGACTAGAACTTTCAGTCTCCTGCTGATTGGCCCAAAGTCATCCAGTCAGCAGGAGTAGAACTCACAGTCTCCTCCTGATTGGCCCAAAGCCAGATTTCAAGACTAGAAGGCAAGACTAGAACTCGTCGTCTTCTGGTGGTTGGTTCAAAGTCACCCAGCTGGTTTATATGTCTAAGGCAAGACTAGAACTCATGCTCTCCTGCTTCCTAGCCTGGTGTCTTAACCACTGGACCAAACTGGGTCTTGGCTGGAAAGAACGTTATAAGGAACCAGGTGGATCAGTGGTCCTACACGGATGTAATGAACCTTCTTAGATCCATTATGGTTTCTACCACACCAATTTAACCCGCGACTTCTCTTTTCTAGGACAATTAGATCAGATCGCCCCGTTTTGTTGATGTGGAAGAGACCCATCCGAGGGCCATGGATGTGAAAGACCGAAAGCCATACCGTTCTTTGACCAAACGTTGCGATGCTGAACGGCGCTATACCAGCTCCTCCGCGGAGAGCGAGGACAGCAAAATCCCGCAGAAGTCGTACAGTTCCAGCGAGACTCTGAAAGCCTATGACCAGGATTCCAGAATGATCTACGGCAGTCGGGTTAAAGACATGGTACCCCAAGAAGCAGATGAGTACTGTCGAACAGGTAGGTAGGAGCTACTCAAACCATGAGTGTTATAAAGTAACCTGTTATGGCTTGTCTGGTTAAGAAGATTAAACAAACCACAATTGCGAGGCTCCCAAAATCTAGAAAGACGTGCGGCGTTATACTTCGTATATATGTATACTTCGTAGCACTTCCCTATATCGTTCCTTGCCTGTAGACAGGAATTGTGCCAAACTAAAGTAACTACCGTGTTTCTCATATAATAAGGCCGGGTCTTATTTTTTTTGAGCCCCGAAAAAACGGCTAGGCCGTCTTTTTGGGGGTGACTTAAATCCCCCCCTTGCATCTTAGGGTGGGCGGCGACGGCTTGGATGTTGACCTCGGCATTGGTGGGGCAGTTTGTATCAGGGTCAACGCAGGCAGCACCATATCCGGGTGTTCAACAAAAGTACTTCCTAACGGCAAGCCCCCCTGCCATTTCCCGCCCCATTTTGCATGTTTTAATATAGGCCTTAATTTGGGGGGAGGGGCTTAATTTCATTTCATGCCTATAAAACATGCTGGGACTTCCTATTGGGGGAGGCCGTATTGTTGGAGAAACAGGGTACTTGCATCCTTAAGTATAAACTCTGAGAATATCTAATGAGGAGCCCGTCTACTCTCTTCCTCCCAGCCAAAGTATGTAAACTTTGCTGTTTCATGATCCTTGGGAATGTGGCCTTTCCCTTCTGGGAATCCAGCACACATTCCACTGCAGGGATCGAGAAAGTGCATGTACGGGGCTGGTGATCATCATTTAAAGGCCATCAGGATTTATTTATTTAGCATATGGCATTCTACAGAGATCGTGCAATAAGTGATAAACAGCACTAATAAAACGCATTATTCATCCAAACACAAATGTTTAAATAAAACATCATAAATAAAACAACTGAGGTTTTATTTTATCCATATCTGTATCTATCTTTTTTTTAATGTATATAAGAATATGTGGCAATAGAATAGAAAATAGGATGGGATGGGATGGGATGGAATAGGATGGGATGGGATAGAATAGAATAGAATAGAAATAGAATAGAATAGAATAAGAAAGGAAGAGAAGGGAAGAGAAGAGAAGAGAAGAGAGAAGAGAATAGAAAATAAAATTAGAATAGAATATAGAATAGAATATAGAATATAGAATAGAATAGAATAGAATAGAATAGAATAGAATAGAATAGAAT